TATGCATTTAAATGTATAAATATAACGCCAACATTTAGTCACCTTGTTTAGTTTGAATTCTATCCTTTTTACCGGTGGTCCTACCCCCCCCCCCCCCCACCCCCTTACTTTCTACTCACATTGACTTCCTCCCCCTTTTTTCCCCTCCAGTGACCCTCCAGAGAAGGCGCGACGCGACCACCGGAACGACAACTCCCTGATCAGAGGTGCTGCAGGTGAAGCGGCCCCCCCTCCCCTCCCCTCCCCTCCCCTCCCCTCCCCTCGCACGCTCAGCCCAGCGGCCGTGAGGAGGAGGACTGGCGAGGAGCTCAGGGGGGACGTCCCTCCGTCGGGCCGTACTGTACTGGCCGATCTGAAGCACCTCCCCCGTAGCGAGGAGAGGCGGGGCCGCCTGACCTTCAGCAAGACAGACGCCGTCCTCGTAAACGTGAGACTCGTCGACTTGACCTTTGGGTCAGGAGGCAGAAGGTCACCTGATCAATGGGAGGGTCAGAGAGTGGAGCAAGCAGAGGCTGTTATGATCATCTTTGATCCCCGATGAGTAAAACGCTTTGTTCTCAGGTGGATGTTTTCAACCGCGAAGGACGACTTGTGGCTCAGCAGGGGGCCGACATGTGGAACAGCAGCGTTGTGAAGATGCCGTGTTCCCCGTGGAGCTCCATGGTGAAGCCTGGAGGTGCATTCAAGGTGCGCCTGACGCCGTGCACGTGGCAGCGATGGGCGGAGCCTGTGAGTCACACCTCCTCTGTTTCCTGTCTGCAGGCCGCGGCCCCGGCGAGGAGGTGGGAGGTGATCTCCAAGCAGCTCGGCGCTCTGGCCAGGAAGACGGCGGCGAGCGCCGAGGACGTCGAGGTGAAGAAGCTTGCCACCATCACCTAGATGTCTAATGCTCTTCTATTAAAGCAAACAGACGAGAAGCTTCTTGAGGATAAACCTGATTCTCTGGATGTCTCGTTAGGGCGCCGTCATGAAATACAACCCCAAATATAAAGACCAGTGGTCCTTTGATGCCCTCTGCAGATTTGTGAAGGTCAGAGGTCATCTCCTTCAATCGCCAGTTGAATCCTTTCTGGTTTTAGTTTTTAGGATCTAATATCTATCTATCGATAACAAACCGGAGTGTTTTTTCCCCAGATCGTCCCGGAGACGGAAAATTATTTCCCCAAATTGTTTCCAAAGATGGCGGCGTTGGCTTTGCGTCTTCCCGACTACGTGAAGAAGGTTTGAAGATGATGATGATGACCTTAATCGTTCATATGAACATAGAGAGTTGTAGTAATAATAAGCCCTATTTATGGATATATGAATATGACACCTGGTGATTCTTTCAGAGCGTCCCGCTGCTCCGGAGGGGCGAAGCTGCCTCCGTCACCCTGTCCCAAGTGCAGATATCCTGCCTCCTCGCCAACGCCTTCTTCTGCACCTTCCCCCACCGCAACACCACCAGCTCCACCGCCGAGTACCACCGCTACCCCTCCATCAACTTCACTAGGTAAGAGCACCCTCAGGGCACCGTCAGAGCAGTCAGGGCACCGTCAGGTGACCTCTTCCTGGTCCTTCTGCCTGCAGCCTGCTGGGTCAGTGGTCCGAGCGGAAGAAGGAGAAGCTGAGGGCCGTCCTGCATTACTTCCACGTGATGACGGAGGAGAGTGAGTACAGAGATTAAAACGTCCTCCTCCTCCTCATCCTGTTTTAACATCTGTAAACATCTGTGAACATCTGTAATGTCTGTTTGCAGAAACTAAATCTGAAGGACTGGTGACGTTTGAAAGGCGCTGTGTCAGAGACTCCGATTTGGTCAACTGGGGGAGGTAATAACACTAATACCACTACGATTAACACTAACTACTAAAAAACAAAATATGTAGGGTCCAAAAATATTATGAAAAATATATTTATTAGGTCAAAAGATATTTTGAAAAAAAGTCAAAATATGTAAGGTGAAAAAATATTATGGGAACAAAAGTCAAAATATGTAAGGTGAAAAAATATTATGGGAAAAAAAGTCAAAATATGTAAGGTGAAAAAATATTATGGGAAAAAAGTCAAGAATTATTAGGTCAAAACATATTTTGAAAAGAAATGTGGAATCTGAAAAATATGGGGGAAAAAAATAAAACATAATAGGTTGAAAAATATTTTGGGGAAAAAAATATGATGGGAAAAAAGTCACAATAAGTAATGTCGAAAGATATTTTGTAAAAAAGTAAAATATGTAAGGTAAAAAAATATTATTAGAGAAAAAGTTTTTAAATATTAAAAAAAGTTTTTAAATATTAGGTTGAAAAGTATTTTGAAAATAATTAAAATATGTAAGGTGAAAAAATATTATGAGAGAAAAAGTTTTTAAATATTAAAAAATTTTTTTTTAAATATTAGGTTGAAAAGTATTTTGAAAAAAAGTTAAAATATGCAAGGTGAAAAAATATTATGAGAGAAAAATACAAATAATATTACTGAACACGGAGGGGGGCGGGGCATCCATATCTATTGGCTAGCAAAAGTCAGCATTTCTGACTTTTTTGTTTTTGTTGCAGCTGTAAAGAGAAGATGAATAAACTTTACGTCTCGTCACACGGAACCATTGAGACCGAAGGCACTGGTTTGCTCCAGGTGAGAACCGACAGCAAGCCAGCCGCTTGAGTCCGGAGCGAGTTCTCACACTGTGTGTGTGCATGTGCGTGTGTGTGTAGGTGGACTTTGCCTCCAGCTGGATCGGTGGAGGTGTTCTGGGTTCTGGTCTGGTGCAGGAGGAGATCCTGTTCCTCATGAACCCGGAGCTGATCGTGTCTCGCCTCTTCACTGAGAAGCTGGCGGACAACGAGTGTCTGATCGTCACAGGTAGAACTGATCGGCACATTGATCGGCAGGAATAAGATCAATAACCACACAAGGAATTACTCAGTGTTTGTGTGAGCTGAACTTGGTGGGTTCGGGTTGTTTGTCAAACTAAACATTTCGACCTTGATCGAAAGAATTGCTCATTTTAAGTCCAAGTGTGGATCAATCTGCTGATAAAAATAGTCCCAAACAAATGTTCAATTTAGATGTTTTCTTTATTTCTGTAAAATGTCAGTTAGAAGTTAAATTGTTTTGGATTCAATGATTCAATTTTGTTTTTGTAATTATACACTTTCTTTATATTTTAGACTGTTGGAGAATATATTTCTATATATATATTGTATTTACACACACTGAAGTGAAAATAAAATCCAGGGAATTAAAGAAAATTAGTGATGTAAGGAGCTTAAAAAACAAAAACATTTAAAAAAACAACCCCCCCAATAAATGTAATTAAGCTCAAATAATTTTGAAAAATACAACAAAAAATATATATATATATTTCTATACAAATATATAGATGATCAAACTTTTTAGTTTGATATTAATTAGTTTTGGAAATTGACCATTTCCTTTTCACAGACGATGAAGAATCGTGTTATTAAAAGAACCAATGGCAGCAGAAAGTCTCAAACAGGAAGTGTTTTTCAGGCTCTCAGCAGTTCAGCTCCTACTCGGGTTTCGGGGACAGCTTCGAGTGGGCCGGCCCTCACGAAGACGTCCTGCGCAGGTACGCCCGGCCCTCCCGCGTGCCCCGACGCGTCTGCCTGTTCCTTTCTCATTGTCCTGGTTCTCCGTTGCCATAGAGACAAGTGGGCTCGGCTGCAGAGGCAGATCGTAGCCATCGACGCGCTGCACTTCAAACAGAGGAGGGATCAATACAACATGATCAGCGTGAGGCGGGAACTCAACAAGGTGATTTACCCTGAACACTTTAAAGAAGCCTCATTTATTTTATTTTGATTATGACTCTTTTCTAATATATAAATATACTTAATATCAATTTCAGCTTTTTTTCAAGGATTGTCCTACAGTCTGATTTTTTTATGTGCAATAAATAAGAAACATAATAAATATCTATTGTTTATCAATACAAAAGACTCACTCTCAAATCTTCTTATGGATTTGATTATTATCCTTATTGGCCATTTCGTCCCTGAAGGCGTTCTGCGGATTCAAGCGTCACGACCACGACAAGCCGGACATCGCCACGGGCAAGTGGGGCTGCGGCGCCTTCAACGGAGACCCTCAGCTCAAAGGTACATAGGCAATGACCCCCGTCGATTCATGGCCACCCGAGGAGACGCACACGCCCTGAGCTCTGCCTCCTCCCGTAGCCACGATCCAGCTGATGGCGGCGGCGGCGGCCGGCAGGGGTTTGGCCTTCTTCACCTTCAGGGACGAGGAGCTGGAGCTGGGCCTGCGGAGGACGCACCACCTGCTGGTGGAGGAGGGGGTGACTGTCGGTGAGAAACCTGCACCAGCCTGAGACGGCTCCGATTAGTTTGTTAGTTGGGTCAGCTCAGAGGTTAGCTCGCATGTTAGCTCAGATGCTAGCTCAGAGGTCAGCTCAGAGGTTAGCTCGCATGTTAGCTCAGATGCTAGCTCAGAGGTCAGCTCAGAGGTCAGCTCAGATGTTAGCTCACATGTTAGCTCAGAGGTCAGTTCAGAGGTCAGCTCACATGTTAGCTCACATGTTAGCTCAGAGGTCAGCTCAGAGGTCAACTCAGAGGTCAGCTCAGAGGTTAGCTCGCATGTTAGCTCAGATGCTAGCTCAGGTGTTAGCTCAGAGGTCAGCTCACATGTTAGCTCAGGTGTTAGCTCAGAGGTCAGCTCACATGTTAGCTCAGATGCTAGCTTGTTGCTTTTTTTCTGATTTTTCTCTCCGCCTCAGAGAAGCTGTTCAGACTCCTGGAGGACTTCTGCGCCGCTCAGCAGGCGTCGGGCGGCTCCCACGTGGACCTGTTCCACTTCATCTGGACCAACATCGGGCCCTCCAGGAGTCAGCTGTGAGGAGGGACGCAGGCGTTGCACTAAAATCCAACACGAATGTTTTTTATACAGTGATGAAGAATTGCGATTTGGTTTTTGTTGGTGGTAAAGGTATTTTTTGGCGTTTGCACATTACTTTGTTAAATAATTTTACCAGCGTTGAAAGGTTTATTTTTATAATTCTTTGTGTCTTTGTGATTTCTCCTAACTGGCCAAGTTCTTAGTCTAATATTCGTGCAATAAAAACTCTGAGAGGAGTAACGAGTCAGTCAGCTGCTGCAGAAGAACATTCAAAGTTGGCTAAAGGTTGGCTGCTACCTCTGATTCCTTAAGGTTGAAAAGCTGCATTCTCTGTAGTGACCAGCAGGGGGCGACTCCTCTGCTCCCATAGACGTCTATGAGGAAATGACTCTACTTCTCTGTAGTGACCAGCAGGGGGCGACTCCTCTGCTCCCATAGACGTCTATGAGGAAATGACTCTACTTCTCTGTAGTGACCAGCAGGGGGCGACTCCTCTGCTCCCATAGACGTCTATGAGGAAATGACTCTACTTCTCTCTTGATTTATTCCCTCAGTAAACATTGTAAACATGAGTTCATGGTCTCAGTCTCTAGTTTCAAGTCTTCAACACAACATGATGTTCATTTAGTCAAACAGACCATAGAGCAGGGGATGCTTTAGGGCGGGGCTACACAATGATTGACAGGGTGGTACCAGTGACGTATACGCCGTTTCTACGTCCTCCTCTGTATATATGTATATATATAGTCACTTATTGTGGTTTTATTATAAATCTTATAGTTCTAGCAACTACCCAATTGTCATACCTCTAAACGACCTTTGACCTCTCATGCTGAGGCGTGAAAATACTCTAAAGAAAAATACTCTACTTCAAAAATCCCAGTCTTAAGAGTCAGAGACGTTCAATAGTTTAAACTGGACCAAGAGGAGTGAGTCAAGGATAATTTTTCCCCTCTGGTTGTATAAAGTAGCAGCAAATAGGAAGTACTTGTACTTGAGAACAGTAGTACCTGAAACAGACAACACAATTCACCAGGAACTACAATCTTTATTCATCCAAAACACTTCACGAAAATAAATACAATACAACTTTTTTGCTGAAGTTCGTTCTTCGTTCTTGGCGTGACGTCGTCAAGGAATCGAGATCAAGGAATCGAGATCAAGGAATCGAGATCAAGGAATCGGCACTTCTGATGAAGATGACTGGATACGATGTTGTGTGTTTTTTTTACTCTCTGAATTAAAGATTTAATTAATGTTTCAATTTGTGGAGGAATCACGCAAAAACATTCTTAAATATCCCGACAATCATCTCAAATAACCCCCGATATGGCTGTCAATCAATCCCATTTAAAGAGGAGTAGCCGCTGGTTGCCTTAGCGTGCGGCTAACCTGACACATTATGACGCGTCACATTCAGAATATTGTCAAATTCTGAATACAAGTGGAATATTAGTGAGCTGGTAAATGACACATTTCTAGGAAATCAATAAATGGTTCAAACCTTTGTTCAGCAGCGGATTGATTACGGTATCTGACAGATGCACGTGCGTTATTATTATCATAAATATTACAATTCATTTCAAAATAAAAGCACTGAACTCGACAACAGAGGCCGTAGCTGCGAACACGAGGTCGTCACGGTAACGAGGTCTGATGTGTAAAAAATAGAAAGCGATAATAAAACCCCCACTAGACTTTCCCTGAGAACGCCGCGTCCATCAGCCGCTGCAGCTCCGCCAAGTGAGTCGCTTTGTTCCCGGTAGACGGCGCCGCCGCCGGGTCACGACCCGCGTACCTGAAACATGTATACACATAATGAAGTCCATGCATACCCATGTGCGTGGTACCAAATCGCTCCTTGGGACTCACCAGACGGGCCGCGCGTGGCCCACGGTGGTGCGGAGGCGGGGCTTGACGTAGTCATAGTAACCCTGGTTCTTGTGCTCCTCCTGGCACCAGACCAGGTCGGCCGCCGCGTAGCGATCCGTCTCCGCTTTCACCAGATCGAAGGGGAAGGGGGAGAGCTGAGAGGAGGGGGGGGGGGGGGGGTATATAGTAGGGGGGTAACGATTCTTTCCGTGAATTTATAATCGATTTATATTCCTGCGATCCAACTGAATCGATCTGTGCTCCGCAAATCGGCATTCCGGACGACATATATCGATTACAAATCGATTGAAATGGTACATAATCGATTGTATCGATACTTGGAAACTGCACATTGGATTTAAGTACAACAACGGCGTGGATGTGTGTGTGTTTGTTTTTAAACGTCACTGGATTCAGTCTGCCTGTCGGTGACGTCATCAGTACGCAGCGGCCGCCGCGCGAAACTCTGAACAACAACAACACACGGCGTGGAGGAGACGACTGCAAGCGAGACATTTACAAACCAACTCATCGATCCAGTGGAAACATTTGGGCTTTTGCAAACACGGAGGTGTTCTAAATAAGTCGCTCGCTGTTTGTAGAATATGTAGAAGCCGAATAAAAAACCACAGAAACACGAGGAATCTTTCCGGCCGTCTACTAAGGCGCCGTGGGATTAAACAACGGCGACAGTCAGGACCTCCAGCAGCGTCACCGCTGCAGCAGCAGCAGGTAACTCAGCTCTGCAGACGCCTCAGGCCTCCAGCACAGAACTCATCACAGTAACAAGTTTATCTGTAACGACGTGCGACCCGACGATGTGGTCTCTGTGAATTGATCCAAACATTGTGTAATTATTGTGTAATGTTTACATTGAAAATGGCACTTGATTCAAATAAAAGGTTAATACATTTGCCATTAATTGTGTTTGCTTGTTTATAATTAATTTAAACCTGATTTCCTTACAAGAAACAACAGGGATCTCAGAAACTTTGCCTCCACTGTCCAGTAAAGTTACTGAATCGATTTCAAGTCACTGAATCGAATCGTTCTAAATGAACCCAGATCGTCCATGAATCGAATCGGCGACCATGAATCGCCATTCGAATCGAATCGTTGTATGTCATCGACCAGTTGTAATGTAATGTAATGTAATGTTGTTAAAATGGATCGTTACACCCCTAATAATTAATCATAGAGGCCCATCAGCCCTCCCTCCTCCCCGGGGAGCCATAGACCGTCTTATTTATCATTTTTATTTATGATGGTTTCAAACCTCCCGTACACCCCAAACATTCATCCTCCTCTACATCCTCTCCGTATCCCCCTTCTCTCCCCTCCCTCCCCCTCACCTGCTCGACCCGGACCACGGCCACCTCCTCCTGCAGCCCTCGGTTCCCGCGCTCTCGGATCAGCTCGTAGTAGATCTTTCCAGAGCAGAAGACGACTCTCTTCACCTTTGCCGGGTCGGCGGCGCCGTCCGGGATCAAACGCTTGAAGTGTGTGTCTGCAGGCGGGGAACACACACGCACACACACACACACACACACAGACACACACGCAGGATGAGGGGGCGGGAGACAGCGGGGGAGGAAGAAGACCACAAGCGTCCCTAACCTGGGAGCATGTCGTCGAAGCTGGACTTGGCCTCCGGGAGGCGCAGCAGCGACTTGGGAGTGAACACTATCAGCTGGGGAGGTGGAGAGAGAGATCATGTGACCCGGTCCTGTGGCGAGGGAGTCTGCGGGCGAGCCGGAGTACTCACGGGCTTCCTGAAGGGCAGCAGGATCTGCCTGCGGAGGACGTGGAAGTAGTTGGCGGGACTCGAGCAGTTCACCACAATCCAGTTGCAGTCGTGGAGCTGCTGCACCGCCAAGTCGGCCGACAGCGTCTGACAGGAGCACAGAGGAGGTGCTGTGAGGAGCGGAGACGAGCTTCCATCTAGCTCTTTGTTTGTTGGTTAGGTGTGAAACATCAACTCAATACGTCTTAACGCTCCCAAAGTAGTTTTGGGATTTCATTTTAAATTCAATGGAAATATTTCTCCCATTTGGATTGAACTCTTTTCTTGCACTAGCAGGAGGAAGAGGAGCAGGAGGAGTAGGAAGAAGAGGAAGATGTGGAGAATAAGGAGGACGAGAAGGAGCCGGAGGAAGAGGAAGAATATCTGGAGGATGAGATGATTGCTTCATGATTCTCATCATCATCACGCTCAGCCAAACTAACATCTAACTGCGTAGATGTTTTCTGATCTATACTTACAGGGAAAACATCAGGATCGTCATTGCACATCTGCAGGAACCTCTCGGGGCGGGCCGACGAGTGCTCCGGACCCTGAGGCGGACAGACAGAACCGCGGTTATCACTCATCTGACTGGTTGTGGCGTCGGGGTGAAAGGACCCGCCTCTCCGTGCCCACCATGCCCTCCAGGCCGTGAGGCAGCAGCAGCACGATGCCGTTCTGCCGGACCCACTTGGCCTGACCGCAGCTGATGAACTGGTCGATGACGCACTGGGCCGTGTTGTGGAAGTCTCCGAACTGGGCCTCCCACAGCACCAGCGCGTTGGGACTGGCCATGGCGAAGCCCAGCTCAAAACCTGCAGGCGAGAGCGGCGTCAGCGGCGGCCAACAAATATCGCCATCTTAACTTCCTGCTAATCTCTGTGCGGCTTTATCGTGCCTCCCTTTAATAAATATATTGTACCCAACTTCAACAGTCGGGATCATAATCACCATTATAACCCTTTAAATGTCAGTTTGCTTTCATAATGTCACTGTGTATTGTAAAGCCTCCAGTATGGGGATTTACTGTGGCCATCTGGTTTTTTAGCAACCTATAAACAAGAAGTGACCATATATGGAATGGCGACATATACGTCTCTGCTACAGACCTGTCAATCAGCCTGTAGCCCCGCCCTAAAGCGTCCCCTGCTTCATGGTCTGTTTGACTCTAAATGGCCCATAATTCACTAAATGAACATCATGTTGTGTTGAAGAAGACTTGAAACTAGAGACTGAGACATAAACTCATGTTTACAATGTTTACTGAGGGAATAAATCAAGAGAGAAGTAGAGTCATTTCCTCATAGACGTCTATGGGAGCAGAGGAGTCGCCCCCTGCTGGTCACTACAGAGAAGTAGAGTCATTTCCTCATAGACGTCTATGGGAGCAGAGGAGTCGCCCCCTGCTGGTCACTACACAGAATGCATGAAACACAATTCTTACACATTATAGGAGATGAAGGTTAACTTCCAAAAAAATTAAAAGGATGCCACATGCATTAACAAGAAAAACCCCTGTGCGTTTAAATACGTAAAAGCTCACCCAGAACGCCGTACTCCGACAGAGAGCTGTTGCAGACGGTGTACGGAGCCTGATCCGGGGAGACGTGGTTCATCGGGATGCAGACCCTCTTATCCACGTTCTGGTCGTGAAGAACGTGATGTCGGTGGCTGTGAAGCAGAATCACAGAATAGAGACTTGTATAAATATAAGAATACTGACAAAAAGCCGATGCGGTTTAAGAAACACAGTATTCTTTGCAGTATTCTCTTCTATTCTTCTTTGCCGTTTTTCACTTAAATATAAACGGAACCATCATGACAAGAAGAGAACAAAGGATCTGTTTTGAACAGGTATGTTAAATGAGATTAAATATCACAGTTTTAAGATTTGTCTTGGCGTCTTTCTGAAGGAACAGTTGGTCAAACACGGTGTGTTCAAGGACCGTCCGGTAAAACAGTCCACTCAATCGGCCACATCACAGGAAAGATTAAGCAAAATGATGTAAACAAAGAGAGCATTAAGAACTCCATCGATCCCAAGAGAGACACCGTGCACTTCCTGTTTCCCGTGTCGGCTACCTGAACGTTCCCCTCTCCACGTCCTGTCCGCTGAGGCGAACGTGGGTCCCCTCTGTGAGCAGAGAGCCGAAGGCCATGTATTCCCCGAGAGCCCAGTCGCACACTCGCTGGTCCACCATGTTCGCTCGGCCTCTGAGGACTCGACTCAAACCTGCGGCCCACAAGGAGGCGACACAACACAGATTGGAAAAGGAGACGCTTGGAGGGTTTTTTTTAGTGGTGGGGGGTGGGGGAGGGGCTCGAGCACCTCCGTGGATGGTGAAGTCCTCCGCAGGGACTGAGGCGGCGATGCTCCCGATGTGGACCAGCTCCTCCTCGCTGATGCCGGTGGGGGGGCAGGTCATGCTCTTAGACTGCCCCTCCAGAGTGAAGAAACCTGCGGACACACAAATAGGTCACGGCTCAGACTACACGGGGGTGTTGGCACTAGGGGGGGTCAGAGGAGGAGGACTCCTCACCGGGCCACGGGGAGTCCAGCCAGTGCTTGATGTGGAGGATCTTCTCGTCTTTGGAGCGGGCGTAGGCCTCCTCGCAGATTCGGTCGTACCTCGCCACTTCCTCCTGAAAGAGGCCGATGGCGTCATGTGAGAGGTTTCCTCGGGCACAAACCCTGACTGGCTTTCAGAAGGTCAGGAACCCGTCATCCGCCGACGGGGTTAAAAAACAACGAGATCTAACAAAGTGTCGTTTAAAACGAGGCTTGAAAATATCGTCCTTTTTAGACCTTTTCCATGTTTATTTTAATGAATGCTCGTTGATTCCTGGTGCAATCACACTAAAGAGAAGACTGAAACCTCTCAGAGGTACTTTCTTTGGTCTGCGGGTCTCCCGTGCATCGGACTGCTCTATTAGATGGCGTCGATAGGAGCCCCCCCCTCACCTCGTATTCCTGCAACGTGACCACGCCCTCTCCGATGAGTTTTTCGGCGAACTTCTGCAGGACTCCTTTCTGCCGGTGGATGCGCTTGTACATCAGCGGCTGCGTGAACATGGGCTCGTCCATCTCGTTGTGGCCGTTGCGTCGGTAGGACACCTGGGAGGGGCGGAGCCGAGAGGTCAGACATTCAGAGCTGATTGGTGCTCCACGGATACGTCCGTAATGAAGCTGCTGTATCGCCGACACATCAGAAGGTTCACGCGATATTCAACTGTTCTTTATGACACAAGAGGGGGGCGGGTCAAGTTACAGGAGACATTCTGTCAGATGAAGACCAAGATGGCGCCGGGGCCCCCTTATCTTCAGTCCGTCCTCACCTCTGGAACTGCTAATGCCGTATCTAGGACGAGGGAGAAGACCGGGGACTCTCACCAGGTCTACGACCACGTCTTTGTGGAAGGTGCTCCTCCACTCGGCCGCCACTTTGCACACGTACATCACGGCCTCGGGGTGGTCGGCGTTGACGTGGAAGATGGGAGCGTTGACGACGCGGGCCACGTCCGTGGGGTACGCAGAGGAGCGAGCCATCCGGGGATCCGTGGTGAAGCCGATCTGCGCGGACGACGAATGGCGACATGAGAAACAGTCGGGCCGGAGGAACCCGCTCTGGTTGCACTCTTCCAGGCCAGGTGCCGTACCTGGTTGTTCACCACCACGTGGACGGTGCCGTGGGTGGTGTAGGACGGCAGGTCGGACAGGTGGAACGTCTCGTACACGAGGCCCTGGCCCGCGAACGCCGCGTCGCCGTGAATCAGGATGGACATCACCTGTGACGTCGTCGGGGTAGAAACGCTTTAGCAACACAAGCAAAGGACGTCCTCCCCCCACAAATATGTGCGTGTAAAACAGGTTGTACCCGTTTGCCCTCGGCGTCGCCGCAGTAGAACTGCTCGGCTTTGGTCTTTCCCTGCACCACCGGGTCCACGGCCTCCAGGTGGGAGGGGTTGGCCACGAGCGACATGGTGACCTCCCGGTCGCTGACCCGGTTCATCCTCTTGTGATACATACCCAGGTGATACTTCACGTCACCGGAACCCTGGGAAGCAACACAAGAGGGGACGCGTCTCGTTTAGGAGAACTGATTCGAGTCAAGTCGAGCAATTTAAAAAGAAAAGTTTAACAAATTGTGGTAACTTAGCGTAGCTTTATTGTGAAGGGTCAGATGGGACTGTGCTCCAGCTGGTTAGCTTAGCTTAGCTTAGCTCATGCTATATTAAAGCAACGGCTGTAAATCTCACTTTCTGACATGTCAGATCGTGTTTCAGATCAATACCAGAACAAAGCTGCAAACTGAAAGTTGTGGTTCTGAAGATGATTCTCAGGCGTTCAAACCTCGTCGGCTGCTTCCAGTTTAGAGTCGAACTGGCAGAAGATTTGGTCGAGCTCCTTCCGGATGACGTTCGCCAGAACGTTTAGCCTCCCTCTGGAAAGGAGAAGCACATATTCGGCACCGTGTGACCAATAGTGTCATTGGAAGAAACGTAACACGCTTCCATTCGTCGACCCTTTGGAGGTCGGGCGTGGTGTGGTCAGGCCTTGCCTGTGAGACATCCCCATGACAACGCTCTCCACGCCGCTCTGGCTCGACACGTCGATGAGGGTCTTCAGGGCCGGGATCAGCGCCTCGCAGCCCTCCAGGCCGAACCGCTTCTCCGAGGACCACTTCCTCTGGAGGAACTCCTCAAACCTGTGAGACCAGGCGGTTAATGGCACACATCGAGACCCAGAACCAACCCCGCGAACTCAGACGGACCTCGTGGCCCGGACCATCCTGGCCAAAAGGGTCCTCTTCTCCTCCAGACTGAACCGCATGACTCCCGGTGTCTCGAACTTGCTCCGGATCCACCGGCACTGCTCCACGTCGTTAATGAACATGAACTCCACCCCGACGTGCTGGCAGTAGGCCGTCTGGAGGAGGGGAATTCGTTAATATATAAATAATAATACATGTCATACTCTCTTTTTGTAATTCTCTGTACCTCCAGGCGCCGTATGATCTCCCTGAGAGGCAAAGAGCCTTCGCCGCCCCCGATGAAGGTGGTGGTGGGGAGACGGAAGGCTTTGTCCAGGTCCTCCTCGGCCAGGCCGTACAGACCTGTCAGAGGGGGGAATATTACTCCCAGACCACTGACGATTCGCTCGGTCATTCTGACCAAAAGTCAAACATCTTTTATTTACGCTCATGAATGACATAAGAAAGTCCCCACAGTTGAGAACATTTATCCTTCTTCAACATTCAGAAACTTCCATCATGTTAATCAATAGTAGAATAACAGGTCAGATGAGCTTTGTGTGTTAAAATCGGTGCAGTGATTTAACCCTTTCATCCCTCATGAGGCCTAAAGTCAAATGAAGGCTTCCTCGCGTCATCAGGATGCCGACCGGCCGGAAAAACCAGCTTGTGGGGTTTCCGCCTGGAACCTGTTCTCTCTGTTGTGTGTTCTCTTTATCTAAAGCATGTGAGGAGATAAGACGCCGTGCAGCAGAGGAGGTGTTACATAAGGGATCTTTAGACCCCCCCTCAGTCAGACAGACGTCCTTGATAAGGTTTTACTGAAGCAGGTACTTCCTGTTTGACTTTGCTGGATGCTGAGCAAAGGTCACATGACCTGTGGCTCGATGTGCTTTCATCACACTTCCCCCCCCCCGAGACGAGACCAGTCAGTGAGGTCATGAGGAACCAGCTACCCAGGATGAAGGTTCTCACCCGATCCCACAGGGGTTCCTCATAATGAGACACACACACACACAAACACACGCACACACGCACACACGCACACACACGGCCTCTGGTCCGACCCCCGTTGGAAAGGGAACAATGGCACTTGTAACCGTGAAAACGTCCTCTCACAGCTCATAACAATCGGCCCGCCTCCACTCAGAGGTCGACCTTTTCACGAGGCACAATGACACGTTGCTGCAGGCATGCATGAAACAAACACACACACACACAAACACACACACACACACACACACACACCTTCCAACATGTTTGAGCTCTTTCCACCGCTGCAATTAGACTGATGTTGATGTGTGGTAATGATAACAATAAAAGAACAATAAAGAACAATATGAAGTCCTGTGTGTGTGTGTGTGTGTGTGCGTACTGTCTGATGTTACACACCAACCGCCAAGTCAAATTCCTTGTGCGTCTGACATATTATGGCAATAAACGATTCCTGATTCTTCTTATCTAGTTTTCCCAGAAGACAGAACTAGCTGATAAGCTGATAAACCACGAACGGAGACATTAATGAGCCATGAACACAAATCAAATAAACCGTCTCGTGCTGTAATACTTTACATGTGAATGGGTTCATCAATGGTTGTTGAGTAACAATGAAGCTCTTATGTGTTCATGGAGCTTGGCGTCACTTTTCCTCACCCACGTTCTGGAAGCCGACGGCACAGGGGGCGTCGTCCAAGTCCACGCAGCTGATCTCCAGCGGGTCCAGCTTGGCCACGTGATGTCCTCGTACCTTTTTGCAGAGGGGGGGGGGGAGCACGCGGCTCGGTGGGTTAACGGGTCCGGTGGTGACTACTTCCTGGAATATGTGCTAATGTTTGACTCTGTTAGCAGTAAACAGGTCACAGTCTGTAACGCCAACGTCCGTCTAAAAGGCAACGAGGCACATTTACTAAACACACGTGGACTGAACAACCATTTAATGCTGCAATTACTTTTTGTTACAATTATCTTGATAACAAACATTTAAATTACAAAACAATACTATTATATACTGTACGTAATAATATAACAGTATGAAGTGGGAATTTCCCGAGATAAGTACTTCTACTATCTGATTTTCTTGAGACGAGACTCAAAAAAAACAGAGCTGCATTCTCTGTAGTGACCAGCAGGGGGCGACTCCTCTGCTCCCATAGACGTCTATGAGGAAATGACTACTTCTCTGTAGTGACCAGCAGGGGGCGACTCCTCTGCTCCCATAGACGTCTATGAGGAAATGACTCTACTTCTCTGTAGTGACCAGCAGGGGGCGACTCCTCTGCTCCCATAGACGTCTATGAGGAAATGACTCTACTGCTCACCTGGTACGCTCGTATAAGCGACTGCACCGCGAGGTGGTCCTCCACCAGCTTCTCCACACTGGGCCCAGAACCCACCACTCGCCCCACGGGGGGCCCACCGGGGGGGGGCGGCCTCTGGTGGGCGTTACGGAAGAACGCGTCCCACGACTGCAGGAGAAAGAACGAGAGACTTTGTGCCGTTTGATCGCTGCTTGGGCCACACGTCAGCGGCTGTGAGGCTCAACACCGACAACGAATGTGATTTCAAGCTGAATATCTTGTAATATGAAGACATGATGTTATTAAAAATTACGACATTTGCATTCGTAGCCGCGTCGCTCGCTGAGACAGAAACCTGGGAAGAAGTTCTGACATCACACGCATTTTATTTCTCCCTGTACACTTAATATCTCAGCTATTGTGGATTTCTCCTGTTATTTCATCACCGCTCTTCACGATGCTGCTGTGAGTCCTGTACATCTCCCCACTAGAGGATCATCTTATCTTATCTGCCCCCCCCCCCCCCATGAGCAAAGCCTCCCAACTGTAAATGCTGCAGACGTGTGTGTGTTTGTGTTGTGAAATCAAAGTCGAGATCATTTTGGAACATGTTGAACCCTTTGAAGGGGAGTGGTGGAATATTAAACATGCACATTCAAGTCCGTAGTAAAAGTCATCTTTGTGGGTGGAATCGACTTGAGGGTCATTCTGTATTTTCACAAACAGTTTAAAGTGTATTTAAGGCGAATCTACTAATCCACAGAACACGTTTAGCTCTTCCTGTCCGACTGTAACTTATTCATTTTGATATCTTTTGTTTTGTATTTTGGGCCGACGTCCCTCTATAGACTCCTAACAACGTCTTTATCCGTTGCTGGACATCGCTGGACATCGCTGGGACGGTCTTTGTCTCGGCTATCTGCCGCTCACTGTTTGCTCTGCTGTTCAAACACACACAACCAGCAGCAGCGTCTCTTGGTACCTTTGGCCCACTGAGACTTACAGACATCTGTACTCAACGAGAGGGAGCACGAAGATTCTCCAACATTTTCATGCGTCCACGAGCAAAAAATCTGGTTTTCGAGCCCTGAATGAAGCGGGTGTGACATCACGGGTGACAAAAAGGCGCACCTTATGCACGTTGCCGGGGTTCTCCAGCCAGGCGTAGTACATCTCGTCCACGTAGTTGGAGCTGGCGCCGTTGAGGAAGGGCTCGGCGGACGTCTTCAACGTCCTGGCGGCCGCCCCTCCGGGCCGCGAGCGGCTCGGGGTCGCCCGCGAGGCCGCCAAAGGCCGAAGCCTTGCGACTGTAGTCCTTAAGCGGAGCATGGCCGCGGTTCAGCCTCAGCTCCTCACAACCCCCCCTGACCCCGACCTCCACGCGGCTCCGCACTCCTCCTGCTTTGGGGTCCACTGCTCTTCGGCTCCTTCGCCTACGACGGCGTCCGTCGGACCCTGTTGAGCTGTTTTAGAGACACTTATCAAACTCATGTTCACAATGTTTACTGGGGGAATAAATCCAGAGAGAAGTCATTTCCTCATAGACGTCTATGGGAGCGGAGGAGTCGCCCCCTGCTGGTCACTACAGAGAATGCAGTCTCTGTTACAGATGGGCTTGGTAGCGTTTAGCCAAATCTTTTTATGGACTATTTTCCGTGGTGAATAAATCCACATTTGGTGTTCTAGTGGCCGTTTGGGGCACAGCTCTGTGTTGAAGGAACACGTGTCCTTACAGCTCATTTCAAGCCGCCTGTTGTCATATGTACAACAATCTAGGAGAAGCAGCTGTTGGCAAAGGACATCATATAATTCAAGCTCCCTCAAATATTGCTCATTAAATGTTTAAAAATAATAAGAAAGAGAATGAGCGACATATTCATGAACAAAAATAGCACAGAGGACCAGACTGGAGGAGGTTTTACCTTCAGACCAACAAACATAAGAAGTTAAATACTCTAAACCCTCAAACCAAAACAGCACACACGCGTCCCCCACGTCACAAGCCGCAAACGTCACCGTCAAATTAAACACATTTGTCCCCAATAACAGTGGCGTGTCCGCACAACGACAGGAACGCTAGTTTCTGACACACACACACACACACACACACACACACACACACACACACACACACACACACACACACACACACACACAGTTGTTCAGATGTCGCGCGCGGGACGCAAACACGCGACATTCGGTCCGTTAAGCCTCGACTCAAACTTTAAGGAGTTCGTTACCTTTCTCTGCTTCACCCCGCCCCCCCCGCCGCCGCCGCTGCTGCTGCTGCTGCCTCCCGGTGTGGTAAACGAGCGGCACTCTCTCCCGCGTGCGGGAGCTTCACTCTCTGCTGCGGGACCGACAAGGTGAGGCGCGCGCGCCGGAACTTTGGTCACTCCGGTGCTGATCTACGTCACTCCGCTGCTGATCTACGTCACGATGGCCGTCGACGTCAGCAGAAAATCACTCCAGTCGCGTCAAATGGGTTGAAACATTAAACATTAAGTAGCACTTTATTTAAGAGTGAAATGTTTTCAACAATGAATCGAGAGACTATGACACATTTTGGTGTAAGACGAGATAAATAAAATGATTTCATACCCTTATATTTATATTGTGTTTCAAGATTAAACATGGTTTAATCAAGTATTCATCAAATATTCAAAGTAATAAAACAGCTGAATTACTCTCACAAGAAACAGTCTGTATTTAAGTACCATCGGCAAAATACACCTGAAGACAAAACCGCCACGTCGACCCCAGTCAACTTAAGTACATCCTTAAGTACACGGTTCATGTATTCTTTCTGATCCACAGCCAACATGTACTTGTACACCAAGTACACACATACCGGAGGGAGCAGCAGTAAACTCGACCTTTGTCCCGAGTCACTGATTATCTAAAGAGCAAGTGAACGCGACACCACAGGAGACGAAGGTACTGAGGCATTGTGGGTAAAAGTACTGCGCCAGTAGTACTTCCTCTGGTTCTACGCACCGTCAATACTACAGAAGACATCTTACTCTAAATACTTTATACGCGGGTAGTTTAGTCCAGTGGTTCCAAACATCGGGGTCGGGCCCTCAAAGGGGTCGCCATAAAAACCTGAAGGGTCGGGAGACAAGAGAAGAGAGAAGGACAGAAAGAAACTACTACTACTGAATAAATAAAACAACAGCTTTGTGATCAACACCCTCTGATTGATTGATTGATTGATTGATTGATCCACGAGCTGTGCCCGCTGCCTCAGGTTGACCTCTGACCTCAGGTTCACACACACACACACACAAGATGAAGGACTCTCTGCGTTTTTATTGGTTCACACACTGATTACATCTGGTCACATGATTAATATTGATAAGACTTGGAATCCGTCGTCATCGCTGTCAATCAATAAATAACTTGATAGACGGTGAAGCAGAGCCGCTCCAGCTGGACAGATGTAAACAGAGAATAAGTCCACAGGCTCTGTGGACTAAAGTAATCCCATTAAAGCTGTGACAGGGATAAACTGGGCAGGTAGGGGGGGGGTCACTGTTACTAATGGCAACCAAACACATATCAATAACATCCTGGTGACTTCTGATCAGGTTTGTTTTAAAGTGCAAAGAGATAAAGTGTCTGTTTTTATTTTTGATTAAATCACATGTTCAGCTGCATATCAGCAGGTGCTGAAACGTCATAAATAAACTTGATTTCCTTTAAAGCTTTATTGATTTTCGTCTCGTGTTTTCTAGAATCCTCTTTGTTCTCTTGTCAAGTGCAAAGCAAAAGAAATCAGCGTTTAAAAAAGTCGAGAATAATCTAAACGTGCGATCTGATTTACGACATTTTTCTTCATTCTGATGTAGTTTTTCGGTCTTTGATACACAGAAGAGCTTTGTCTATATATTTAACAGCTGATCTTCCCTCTAAAAGTTAAATCCTGTCTCCATCCATATCTCATCATGTCAACACAAACAAACAGTTTATGCACTTAAAGCGCAGGAAACGAGGCGATCGGTTCTACCGGAGCTCCAAAGAGAACGAAAGGAACAAAAATGCACCAAAACACCCAAATCAGCAACGTCATGCAGTCAAACATCATCTAAAGCAAACCCGTCACCACGGCGACACAAACAGCGTGACACGGAGGATCACATGCTGGGGGGCGGGGGGGGAAGAGGGGCAGATCTAACGGGACGGGTGTCTCTGCAGAGGGAAACATCCACTGGAGCCAAAGACGATGCTCATGAAAACATTAAAATGTGTGACGAACAGCTCCGACAGACAGAAGAGCAGGACAGGTCCAGGTCCAGGTCCAGGTCCAGGTCCAGGTCCAGGTCCAGGTCCAGGTGAGTTGGGAGGCTCACAGAGAGAGAGTGTGGGGGGTTGATGATGAGGGTTGGCGTCTGTCTTTAGGGGGACAGAAGAGAGACGAGGGCAAAGACATCAGATGCTTTCTTCTTCTTTAGGCTGCCATCCCTCCTCCTCTTCTGCTCCTCCTCCTGCTCCTCCTCATCCTGCTCCTCCTCTCCTCCTCTCTTCCTCTTCTCCTCTCCTCCTGCTGCTCCTCCTCCTGCTCCTCCCCAGGCTCTGGTACCTGCAGAGATGTTAGACACTCAGTTGAGTTTAAACATGTGAGGACTGGTGCATTTTGGGCACCACAAGAAAGATCTAAGAAGATCTTCATCATGTGATGAAGCTCCCAAACTCCACCCTTTCAAAATAAAACTACTGAGTTGGGTCCAGGCAACAAAGCCAGCAGGTCCAGGAAATGACCTGAAGTTGTGTTTGAGCCATTTCCTTCTTGCTAAGCTAAGCTAAGCTAAGCTAAGGCCTCCCTACCTCCTCACTGCAGCGGGGCGGCGGGGGCCCCCGAGCAGTGGAAGTGGACGTTCTGCCACCGGCTCTCCCGGCGGTGCCACACCCGCGTCTCCTCGGACTGGCTGGAGCGGGGCCGCCCCGCCCCGTCCACGAACTGCGTCAGGCGGATGTAGGCGATGCAGGCGGCCTCGTCCCCGATCATGTGCACGTGGGGGTTGAGGATGGTGGTGTGGACGGGTTTGCTGTTCTTGGAGAGCACTGAGAGAGAGAGAGAGAGAGAGTGGGGGGGTTACACCTCATCCACGGGTCGGAGTCCCAGAGAACGTGTGAGGCGGCGCCGGCGGCTCACGGTTGTCGAAGTAGAAGCGGTGGAAGTCCATCCCCTCCACCAGGTTGCCGAGCCCCTCGGGCTCGAAGGAGGTCAGACCGGGGTCGCAGATCTTCCTGAGGAGAACGATCACGTTTAGACAAACGGATTCTGAGACTTCACCCAGTCAAGAGTTGGGCGGGACTCACGCGTAAGCCTCAAAGTCCCCGTTGTTCACGGCCTCGATGAGCTGCTCCGTGATCTTTATGATCTCCTGCTTACGGGCTGCAGGAGAAGCAGAAGAAGGAGCAGCGTGAGAGGAGGTGGAGGTGGTGGAGCGCTCTCCTGAGCCGCAACCCCCCGCAGACCGACCTGAGAGCTGGTCGGTACTCATCTTAGGTTCCCCTCTACATGACCTCTGACCTGCGTGTCCACCTGCGCTCTCCTCAGAGGGGAAGAGGCGTCTCTGCCTGCCGCCTCCGTCCGGCCTCCATCACGCCGCGGGGCTGACGGAGCTCATCGCGCTATTCTGGTCTCGTTAGAGGAGATTTGCTGTGTCCTCCTCCCCTCCTCCCCCCCAGTGAGAGGAAGGCTTATCTCTCTCTCCCTCTCTCTCTCTCCCTCCCTCCCTCCCTCTCCCTCCATCTTCCTCTCTCCATCTCCCTCCCCCCCTCCCTCTCTCCCTCTCTCTCTCTCCCTCTCTCCCTCCCTCTCCCCCCCTCCCTCTCTCTCCCTCTCTCTCATCAATAAAAAAAGCCCAAACAACGGCTGCATTTTAAGTAAAAGAAGCAACATTTAAGTATGAAAATATAAAAACATAAAAGTCCTCAATGGGCGACTTCACCAAACAAAAGTAAATGTATTATATATCTATAATATATATCATTATAAACTGATATTATCGGGGGATAATTCTGTCATCATTTTTGATTTGCTGAGATTAAATGTGAGTGAGTGTGTTACTGAGTGTGTGTGTAAGTGTGGTACTGTGTGTGTGTTACTGAGTGTGTGTGTGTGTTACTGAGTGTGTGTGTGTTACTGAGTGTGTGTGTGTGTGTTACTGAGTGTGTGTGTGTGTTACTGAGTGTGTGTGTGTGTGTTACTGAGTGTGTGTGTGTTACTGAGTGTGTGTGTGTGTTACTGAGTGAGTGTGTGTGTCTCACCCTTCACGTCTTCATCCTCGATCGTGTTGCTGCTGTCAGATGATTCCTGCACAAACAGAAACATTAAATCACCCAAAGAATGAAATGATGCTTTCACCAGCGAACGCGCACACGGGCGCATGCACGCACACACGCACACACGCACACACACACACACACACGCAGCCGGTGAGGCTCCTCCTCCTTCTGACCAGCAGGAGGCGGCTGAGGAGCTGTCATGCACTAAGACGCACAGGCAGGCAGGCAGGAGGAGGAGGTACCTTGGTCCCATCCATGGGGTTATGGATGACTGTGGTCTGAGGCTCCTGGAGGGACAATCAGAGAGGAAGCAGTGGAGAGCGAGTGTGTGATGAGGATCAATAAGGATTAGAAGGGGGGGGTCATGACTGACCTCACATCCTTTATAGAAATCAAATCAATAAGAATCGTGTATTTCAACTTCAGCTGTTATGTTGATGTGAACGTGTGAAATCTGCTGTAAAAATGAAAAATAAAAGCCTCTTTCCTGTTCCTCACAGTCCCTTCAAAGTAAAGTACTTGTTATGAATGCACGTTACAGATGAGAGATATGAAACTCTTCATCCCCCCCCCAGTGTTTCAGTGCATCAGGCGTACCAGAGCGGGGGGGCCGTGGCCTTTGGGGCCTTTGGGGCTGGTGACTATGCTGCTTCTCGAGCTGTTTGTCTGCGGCTGTGCAGGAAAAGGTGTTAGAAAGACACATTCCTCACTACGTTAATCAGACAATCCATCACTTCCCTCTGCAGCGAAACCCAAATGAGACCCTCGACAGATTCACCCCCCCGGAACCTGGGGGCCCTTTGGCCAGACGGTGAATCTAAACCAACAGCAGATGTGCAACTCTGCAACATCTGCCAGATGGAAAACCAACATCCGATTGGTCAAATGGAGGCATCAGCATCTCTTAAACCCCCCGACTCCCCCGACCCCCCCGGCCCCCACCGGCTTATGAAACAGAGAGAGAGACTCCTCTCACAGCCAACGACATGCAGAGTGCACGGACGCACACACACACGCACACACACACAGCAGCTGATGATCCCGTCTGAACAGATGTGTAGAGATGAAAAGTGTTTCATGAGCACGAGACGTCTCACACAGACTCGCGCTCTGTTTCGTTGCACTTTATTGTTATTATTGTTAACGGCCTCCAGTGCATTAAACCCACAATCAACTATTTACTGCCAAATATTTTTTTACAGTTTTTTAATATTATTTTTAAATATTATTTTGCACAGATAAGAACTTTATTTACAAGATGGTTGAACGTTTTATTTTTATTTTATTTATTTTTTTAAAAGGTCTGTAAACTTGAAGGTTTTTGCAATTGTTTCATTCCATTATTATAATAACTTATAATAACAGAAAGGGTTTGAGACCAGCAGAGGGTTGCCTACATTCACATTCACACTTTACACACACTGCCCCCTGGTGGTCAGGAGACAGAACGCAGCTTTAACTCATAAAGCTTTGACTTTTCATTTTGTTGAGAAGTTAATGATTTTTTGATATTTAAATCCAGCCTTTATTTGAACAGCGTTCATCTCTGAGAGAAAACGCAGGAATACTGAAATAGCTCCGTGGTTGTGTGACACCGTGATTATGTAATGATGGATTAATCATCTGGTGAGAAATAATCTGAGATTAGCATCGGGCCAAGCGAGGAGAGATGTGCAGAGGAGGAAAGGGAGAAGAGAGGAAGAGGAGAGGAAGAGGAGAGGAAGAGGAGAGGAAGCCATCGACTGCTTGACTTGCATAAGCACCTTTAAAAGTTACAACAATGAGATACATTAGATATTTAGCACACAAGTTATCACTTAATCCAAGTTTCTCCTGCACATTAAGTTCTTCTTGCAGGAAGAAGACAATTTTGTGCACAATCTCCTGCATGACAATTTATTGTTAAGTTAAGTGGACTTATAATGTTCATAAAAAAGATCTTTAGTGGACAAGGAGATGTCTTTAGTGGACAAGGTGATGTATGTCTTTAGTGGACAAGGTGATGTATGTCTTTAGTGGACGAGGTGATGTATGTCTTTAGTGGACAAGGTGATGTCTTTAGTGGACGAGGTGATGTATGTCTTTAGTGGACAAGGTGATGTATGTCTTTAGTGGACGAGGTGATGTATGTCTTTAGTGGACAAGGTGATGCATGTCTTTAGTGGACGAGGTGATGTATGTCTTTAGTGGACAAGGTGATGTCTTTAGTGGACGAGGTGATGTATGTCTTTAGTGGACAAGGTGATGTATGTCTTTAGTGGACGAGGTGATGTATGTCTTTAGTGGACAAGGTGATGCATGTCTTTAGTGGACAAGGTGATGCATGTCTTTAGTGGACGAGGTGATGTCTGTCTTTAGTGGACAAGGTGATGTCTTTAGTGGACGAGGTGATGTCTTTAGTGGACGA